GTCGACCCAGCGTAAAATGGGTACTAGGTGAAGTCATGGGAAGTCAAGGCAGCCGGCGTGATGTTGACCACATTAGCCACCGATTCCCGATTGCTCTATAAAATATAGGTCTAGCCCTATATGCCCAATACGCCTAAAGGCTTGGAAAGGGTTCTTTACTTTTGATGTCGGGTGACCATACGTCCCGTTTTCTCCCAGACAGTTCCGTTGTTCAAGTGTGTCTCCCAGCTGTCGTGTCAGTACTCACCAAAACCACCCGACTATGCTGTTTATAATGAAGTCGCCGTGGCGTTGGCGGCTAGACGCCCCTCCTACGGATCGGAAGCTCGTGGGTTTGTATCCGGACGGAGCCATACTTTTTTTTTTCAAAAATGACCTTAACTCTCAGGTCGACCCGGTATAGAGAGGGTACCAGGTGCAGTCCTGGGAAGTAAAGGCGGCCGGTGTAATGCTAACCATATCGCCCAACAAGTGCCGATTGGTCTATACAAATATGCGTCTAGCCCTATGTTCCCAATAGACCTAAAGGCGTGGGGAAGGGACTTTTATTTATGCTGATTATAATAACCGGTTTCTTGGCGCTCCTGCTTGTGTTTGGATGTCTCAGTAACGGTGTAATACAATCATAACAGTCTACAATCCGCGCAATCCTTATCGATGACCTTTTGTGTGTGTGTGTGTATGTGTGTGGGGCGTGTTGGGCCGGGAGGGGGGGGGGGGCTTTTTGCAGGCTAATGCATGTGTAACTTTGTCTTCCTCTTGTTTGTTGTTCACACTTATCAGTCATTGAAACCTATTTAGTATTCGAGTCATCCAGGATTCAAATCTATTCATTGCGTATATTTAGTTATGGTCTATTCGTATCCACTGTTCTTGTTTTTCCATATCCAAAATGGCGGCTCAGCTCTTGCCTCTTCCTGGAATGACGGATGTTCTAATTTCATAAACCACTTCTAGAGCAACTGGTGGTAAAGATATAGATCCCAGCCGGTGTGCTGGGTCAAGTCGAGTCAACTTACAGTCATCCCCTTAAGGGGGAGGAGGGGGGGGGGACATTATTCTTTCTTTTTAAGCCCCACCCTGGCTTTTGCCAGGGGCCGCAATATAGTCAGGCCATAATGGCTGAACGCGGTTTCCGTTTCCTCTTTATGGGTGATCCTCATGGTGGCACTTTGTGTCATCGGGTGTTTGTCGCTTGTGTGGTGTCCTAGTGGGGTAAAGGTACCCCTTCTACTACTGGACAAGTGGCAGATTCATTCTTAACTCATCATCATCATCATCATTACCATCCCTTGTGTGCCCCTAGACGTCACATAGGGCACGTATTCGATTACTCCATTTACTTTACTGCATGTAACTCTTGATTTCTGACATGGGATTCAGCTCAGCATTTGTTTTCCTCTCGTAGTATTGTTCTTCTTAATGTTTTCATTGGACGTCCTCTTTTTCTCAGACTATGATTCTCTGCTCATTTCGTCTCAGAGTGTGCCCAATATATCTCCATCTCCTTTGTCTTACTGCAGTCGATACATGTATTTGTCCAAACATTTCTCTGATCTTCTCATCCCATTTTATGTTCATGATTTTTCTCAGACATTTTTTTTTTCTAAATGCATTTAACATTTGTTCCATGTCTTTTGGCTGCGCTCCTTAAAGTAAGGGCAGGTAAATGTAACTGACTCACAGAGCTAATGTATATACATACAGTGGAACCTCGCTTAACGGGCATAATTCGTTCCAGAATCATACTCGTTAAGCGAAACACTCGTTATGCGAAGCAATTTTTCTCATATAAATTAATGTAAAATACGATAATGCGTCCCATGTCGAGAAAAATAGTCACAAAATGCTATGTATAAGTTATACTACACATGGAATGCGAATTCGATTTGCAGAAAAAAAAAGTCGAAATAATTATGATACATAGCTAATTATTTTTAACTAAAAAGATGTCCAGAGACATTTGTTTTTGTCGACGCTTCAAAATTTGGCGAAAATGCGACACAGCGTTATCATTAAATTTGCAGCGCGCATAGCCACTTCCTTATTAGGGTGATGTTTCTCAAAGTGAGAAGCAACAGTTTGCCATGCTTTCATCATTTCTCTTATTTCGCCAGAAGATTGTTGCTTTTCGGTTACCTCCTCCTCCTTCACTGACAAACTTTCCTCCAAAACTTCTTGCTGTGAAACACAATGCAACTCTATAAGCTCTTCGATGGTCAGCTCTTGGCTGTGCTCTTCCACAAGCTCTTCGATATCACTGTTATCCACCTCCAATCCCATTTTAGTGGCCAAAGACACAATCTCGTTGACTGCAGGTTCCACAGGTACTGTCTCGAACTCCTCAAAGTCACAAATCGACAACGCTCTCCGGCCAAAGCTTCCTCCAAAAAAAAGTTAGGGTTCTCTTGGTAACCCCTTCCCACGCCTTATCGGTCATCTTAAGGCAGGCAACGATGTGGAAGTTATTTTTCAAAAACTCTTTGAGAGTGAGGTTGGTCCCTTCAGTCACCTGAAAACAATGCTCGAAGAGTGCTGACTGACTTGCTACCCCACCAGGACATCACACAAGCGATAAACACCCGATGACACAAAGTGCCACCATGCGGATGAGTTACGCCGCGGAGAGGTCCCAGAAACCGCGTTCAGACAATTGGCCATATTTATGGCCTGCCTATATTGCGGCCCCTGGCAAAAGCCAGGGTGGTCGAAGAGTGCTTTAGTGTAGAGCTTCTTAAAGTTAGAAATAACTTGCTGGTCCATGGGCTGGAGTAACGGAGTGGTGTTGGGAGGCAGAAACTGGATCTTGATGAACCTAAATTCATCAGAGAGGACATCTTGTAGGCCTGGAGGATTCATATACATATGTCACAATATAACAAAAGTATGACACAATGTGTGATCACAAGCGACACTACGATGCTACTGGAACAAGTGCTAAACACTGATGTAACATGCGCAAAATCCGGGACTTCCCCTCTCCTCGCCACTCGTTATGCGAAACGTCGCTCGTTAGGCGAGTCATTCTTTTACAATTTGTTTTGCTCGTTATGCGAATTACTCGTTATGAGAGGTGCTCGTTAAGCGAGGTTCTACTGTACTTCCCGTCCTTTTAAGAATGAAATTTTTCGTTATTTGAAGCCCTACTCTGGCTTTTGCCAGGGGCCGCAATATAGCCAGGCCATAAATATGGCCTAATGGCTGAACGCGGTTTCTGGGACTTCTCCATGGTGATCCTCATCCACATGGTGGTACTTTGTGTCATCGGGTGTTTATCGCTTGTGTGATGTCCTGGTGGGGTAGAAAGTCAGTCAGTCGGTCACTCACAGAGCATGCCTCTGACAATGTAAACTGACGTCCTACTGATAGAGTGGCTAGTATCACTTGATAACACCCAGATCTGGGGCACATCGGGGAGTTGCTGTCTTGGCTATTGGGGTGTGCGGGGTAATTGGTAGTGTAAAAGACTGGCCGCTGCCGCGCCTCTGGGCGGTGAGCTTCTTTATGATAAAGCAGACGTGGTGAAGCTCCTTGGAATAAAATAGATAGTCCAATAGAACAGACAGAGAATCTATACACTAAAAGACTATTTCAAAAAGGGGTGTGGGAAAGGGTGAGTAGACGTTCTGGGAGATACTGAAAACTGAGGGGGGAAACAAAGGCGAACTCTTAGGCAGCAACTGGTACTAATGGCATGTCGAGATGTTAGTACTGACGAAGGAGACAAAGCACGTGTGAGAATGTCCCGAGTGCCAATCCTTGATTCATTTATTCATTCATTCATTCTGAGGGCAGTCCAACTGGACAAGCGTTCCCAGCGTCGATGCCAGAAGGGCAGCTGAAGTCTGTGCCCAGGCAGTGAGCGTCTGTCACTCGTCTACAGACAGAGAGTTCTCACAGCCGAGCCCAGAAAGCACTTGCCGAGCGACCAATAGAAACTCAGCCGAGGACACACAGCGGGACGGCCCCTAATGTCTCCGCGCCGTTCACTTCAGTAATACATTCACCCTTGCACATATCAAATGGGCGGAGCTTATTTGTTGACAGTTTCACCTTTAAGATACATCCTGCCCACTCCGTCATCCATCTCTAAGCTAACTTAATCCCGTGTCATTGTGGGCGATTTTCTGATTGCACTTAGGATTCCAACTAGACCCGCCCTTTTTTTTTTTTTTTTCAAGAACAGGTGACATTAAGCAGAGTGGAAATGCAGTGGTAAATTGTGGCCCAAATGTCAGAGATAAGCGGCGTCTAGATTTTCCCAGCTCTGCTGTAGACGATCGTGGTGCTCCAACACTTCACGTGAAGCGCTCGATCCTTGAATTATTTCATATCACACTCGTGTCTGTATGGATTTTAACTTTGGGCCAAGTCAGCGTACTAGAGTTTAAAAGCTCGTTGACTATTCTCCAATATTCAGTGACTATTACTCAATCCAAATAAAAATTACATAGTCTGGAATGTAATACTTCGTAATTTGGGTTTCGCAAAATACAAGCTTCAGTGGGATTTAGAAATTAGGAACGCCTTGTCGTGGAAAGAATTTGGCTCGTTTTGTGATTTAAAACAAGTTTGTGATAAGTTAATCTAAATTACGAAACGTCATTAGACGGGATAGTGCAGTTAGCATTAGGATACACGTCTGAAAACATAAGTTTAAACTACAAAGTTATTCTAAAAAGAAATATCGAGACAGGCGTTTAAATAAGTATTTCTGAAACTTTAATATTCTAGAAATATTTGTGCATCAGAATTTAAATGAAATAATACACTCAGGAAGCTCAAAACAAAAACTCTACTGGTGATTTCAACATGTCCGCGCCTGACTCGTGTCATAGTTTTGAAATGAGTTACTGAAGCAAATCTGTGCTTTCGTCACAGAAGAACGTCTGTCTCTTGATGAACAAAAATTAAATTCTAATTAATCACTCTGCACACACTAAAGTGAATCAGCTGTGTGCTTCATTTGATTTATTCTGGCTTGTTTAAGTCCCAGGAGA